CCAGTTTTTTACTGACATATACTATACAACTATATATGGAGATACACACATATAACGTATAAATATACATATAGGTATATATCACACAATACATAATCACATAAACTATTACATACAAATGATATACTTATTAGAATGAATGGATTTGGGCTGGTATGGTGGCTCCATAGACTAATCCTCTGTTTGCTAGTGCCAGCAACCCATATATATCCTAGCTGCTCCACTTCTGATCCAGCTCCCTGTTTATAACCTGGGGAAGCAGTAGAGAATGGCCCAATTCCTTGGGCCCCTGAACACACGTGGAAGATCAGAGCAAGCTCCTGGTTCCTGGTTTAAGATTGGCTCAGCTCCATCTGTTGCAGCCATTTGTGGAGTGAACCAATAGATGGATGATGTTTTCCCTTTCTCTGTAAAATGTACCTTTCAAATAAACATAAACACATTTTAGAAAAGAAAAGAAAGGAAAGAAGAGAAAAGTATGGGCTAACAGAATTCGGGAGCTGGAGAGGTGCCAGGCTTTGGCCACACACAAGCAAGAGACCCTGTGTTTCTGATGTAGCAGAAATCCAAGAAGCAGAGTCCATGGTACATTTCAGTAATTCCAGTGAATATTTGAAAGCATGTGATCTGGGAGCACTGTGGGCAGGAGTTCCATGTCCCAACTCAAGCCATGAGACAGAGAACAAAACCCCACCTCGCCTCATCTTTTGAAGTCTATTCAAGATCCCAAGAGATTGGATGGGGCCCCTAGCATGAGGAGGGCTGACTCAAATACTATCTCTTCCAGGAATCCTCTTACAGACACATCCAGGGAGGCGGGGGGAAGCGGGGGGGGGGGGAACTGTCATCAGTTCTCTAAGCATCGTAAAGTCCAGGAAAGTTGACACACAAGTGACGTATCGTGTGGTGTCCCAAGATACAAAAGCCCTACATACAGGGACTGAAGAATAAATGAGCAAGGCCCCATGGCTCCATTCAAGAACTGAAAGTGTTAATCCATTTTCTGTTAAGAAACTCCAGTGTCTGAGCACCAAAATTGTGTCAAGATGCTGATGCTCGGATTAGAAATAGGAAAAGCAGCTTTTAAAGTACAAAGCTGGGGCAACTGACAAATAAGCTAAAGCTGGATTTGGACTCACAGCAATGCATCTGAGCCAGTTGAGAACCGGGGATGGCAAATGAATCAAGCCTTCGAGTCAGACATCACGGAACACGTAGGATTGCTAAACCCAACACACACAAGCACCCTTCAGAAAGTTAGTGAAAACTCCACTTCTAAAATTTATTCAGGTGCAATTAAAAAAAAAAATCCTTGCAGGGGCCACTCTAGTGGTTCAGCAGGCTAATCTCCTACCCTGTGGTGCTAGCATCCCATATAGTTGTTGGTTTGTGTCCCAGCTGCTCCACTTCCCATCTGGTTCCCTGCTTGTGGCCTGGGAAAGCAGTGGAGGATGGCCCAAGGCCTTGGGCCCCTGAAACCACATAGGAGAGCCAGAAGAGGCTCCTGGCTCTGTTTTGGATCAGTTCAGCTCTAGGAAGTGAACCAGTGGAGGGAAGACTTTCTCTGTGTATCTGCTTCTCTCTGTAAAATCTTCCTTTCAAATAAAAATAAATAAATCTTTTAAAAATCCTGCATAGGTTTTTCCCATAATACTTGTTGCCCAAGAACTCTGAAGATCCCTTGTGTGTGCTGCTCTGTCCAAATGCCAGAAACAGATAGTCATTTGAGTGTATGGCAGCACGTACAGCTGAGTGACATAGCAGAGTAACTGGCAGGAGGACACTGGTCCCCAACATCAGCAGGAGCCCTCTCTGCTTGTTCCCATGCAGCCTTAGTGATAAAAGGCACTTGTCATTCTGACCCCCATACCCCTCCATTCAAACCTGTTTCCAGGCACCTGAGCTCATGGGAAACTCCATGTTCAAATGCTGATCCTGAGCTCAATTCCAGGTTTCCTTCCCAGCCCTGTCAACTCCAAGGTCAACTGTATAATTGGCATGCCTGTCTTGGGCCCACAAGGTGGCTTTTTGGGAAAAGGTAGAGATCATCAGATGCTGCGATGTGTACCCACTCCTGTGCAAGCCTCCTTTGATGCAGGACTGAATTGAATGAAGGTTGTGAAGACATGGGAGGATGTGGAGGTGAGAGTTTGCAGATTGCACTTTTGTGCTGGTACCCTAACTATCAAAACCAGGGGCAGGCCTGCCACCAGAGTTCCTGCAAAGCAAAGCCAGACACCGAGATTTAGAGAGCTCCAAGAATATTTTTGGCTGTTGTGAGAACTGTTATGGAAATGGAAACTTGTTTGAAAAACAAGCATTGTGTGAATTCTCCCCATCAACAACTTCCTTGTTCAACAGCCACACTGCATGCGGGGTCACCCTGTCTATGCAAGTTCCCTCACATTTTCCTTCTGAATAGCACTTGGTATCCCTATCTCTCCATCACTTGGAGTGATTTGGGATGGAGAAATAATCAGCAATTAGAGTACATAATCTGGGAGTGGCCTAGTAGGGAGATAGTGGGCACCTCCCTCGGGGTCACTACTCTCACTGGACAGCACGAAAACCAGGACAGGGGCAGGCATGGCTAGACAGAAAGGCACCTGCCAGTAAGTGTGTGGGCTGAACAGTAGGTTGGTTGGGTTGAACTAGGCTTCAATGCCCATTGACAAGTGCCAGAGCTAAATGGGATGTGGGACACACTGAACAAGCCTGCGGTACATACTGGCAAGCATGGGAACCAGGGTAGGGGGCAGAACTGGTGGGGTGATGGGGAGTCACCCCAACTAGGCTGCAGCTCCAACTGGTTTGCATGAGGACAGAGTATGAAGTGGGTAGGATCGAGCTGGACTACAACACCCGTTGGTTCACGAGGAAGACAGGGCTGGAAACAGAACGGACCCAGCAATAGCAACCACCAGCATGTGTGTAAGCTGATCAGCACAACGGACGGTGTTGGACCCTGCACTAGCAAACTCACACAAGAATCAGGTCTGGGAGGGCCAGGCGTGGTGGCGCAAGTGGTTAAGGTCTTTGCCTTGCACACCCGGAATCCCATATGGGCGCCGGTTCTATCCCGGCAGCCCTGCTTCCCATCCAGCTCCCTGCCTGTGGCCCAGGAAAGCAGTCGAGGACGGCCCAAAGCCTTGGGACCCTGCACCTGCGTAGGAGACCCGGAAGAGGCTCCTAGCTTCGGATCGGCATAGTATCGGCCGTTGTGCTCACTTGGGGAGTGAATCATGGGACGGAAGATCTTCCTCTCTGTCTCTCCTCTCTGTATATCCGCCTTTCCAATTAAAAAATAATAAAAATAAATCTTAAAAAAAAAAAAAGAATCAGTTCTGGGAACATCTCAAATGAAGTTTCTTTGGAGATCCCTCAACTGAACTACTGATCTCAGAACCCCAACCATGAAGAGATTATATCTGCCAGTGGACTCTGAATAGGTTTCATTGCCATTGGAACGGTGAGATTGGCAGCAATCCAGACTGTTGAACTATCAAAACTGCTTGAGCAGGACCCTCGGAGCGTGTCTCACATTGGGGACCTGGGATGGGAGGGAGGCTGGGTGGGGCTTTTCCCTTTGTTTCTCCCCTGACCCCAGATGCGGGGAAAAAATGATAATATTAGTGTGGAAACAATGGTATTACCCACTTTCACCCTGTAGCCCTTGACCCTTGTACACTAATCAGCTAAGTAAGATTATGAAAATCTAATTTTAAAAAAGAGAGAGAAATATTCAGCAATTAAAGGTGGAGGACAGAAGATGGTCACCTGTAACCATAAACCATGAAACAGAAACCATAAACAATGAAAACCATAGAGTTAAGAGACCCTCTCTTGGAGACCCCTGCTGTGGCTCATCATGTTAACTTACTACCTGCCTGAAATATCCGCAGAGTGCTGGCACAGTTCTGGCTACTTCAACTCCTAGCTAATACACCTGGCAAGACATCAAAGGATGACCCAGGTACTTGGGCCTCTGCCACCCATATGGGAGCAAAGATGGAGTTCCAGGATCCTGGCTTCTGAGTTCATTTGGAGGAGTGAGCCAACAGATGCAAGATCTTTTTCTTTGCCTCTCTCTGTAACTCTGCCTTTGAAGCGACTAAGATAATTCTGGGGTGGTGGAAGATATTCTCCCAGAATCCCTGTCATCCATGTAAAGTATAGGGATGAAAGAGTGGCACCGATGTGTGCAACTAGGCCTGGAATATGTTTTTGCCTGCCCCACAGACCAGAATCAAGGCAAGCTAAACTGCCTTGCTAAACTGCAGAAGTAGCAGGATGTCTGTAGCCAGGTAGGCTCTCCAGCTGCTTTTTCCTTTAGGTCAACATTAGCATTTCTTTTCTTGTCTGTGGGAATCCATCCACTTCCCAGTCCTCCTCCCTGCCCAGAGCAAGTAAGATCTTTCTTGCAGGATTGATTACTTACGCTATCAAATGGAACCTTTTGCTTTTAGAAGCAAGCCATTCCCAGGATTCTACCCTTCCGATAGTAGTAGCAGGCCACCATTTTGAATCTGCAACCAGCCGCTTTACCAGGACAGGGGTTGCACGGTAGGTCTTGCAGGGTTCACTGAACACGGAGGGCTGAATGGTTAGCTGGTCTGTCAACCCTTTTTTGCAAGATGGAACCAGGAATCCAGAGCAATGATGTACAATGGTTTTCAGGCTCTGGCCACAAACAATTCGACATAATTACAAGGAACATTCCTCTGTGTTTTGTTTTGGTTTCTCCCTAACCCCCTCCCCAGAGGTTGCTTAAACAAGCGGTTATCCCTTCGGGTGTTGACATAGGAAAAGGCGAAATGTCAGCCGCCGCGGCAGCGGCCCTGAGCGCAACAGGCGGCTTGGTGGCGCGCGGCTGCCTTTGTGCTGGCACCCGGCTCGCTCTCACTTCCTCCTCGCTTCCGTCCCACCCTTTCAGCGTATCTTCCTGACAAGGGTGAAAATAACGTGTGGTTTTTACTTCGAGCAGCTGCCTGCTGTGTCCTTCTTCGTCACAGCTAGTCGATGAACTGGCTCCTCCTAACTCCTCCGCTTGGCCGTCCCGCGGACCCCGCCTTCTGTACTCCCCGCACAGACCCAGCCAAATGTCTCCAAGCGCTCCGCCGCCACTGGACGCCTCCTAGTCCCGGTTGGAAGACCGCGCGGTTTCCAGCGCGGGACTCCAGCGGGGAGTCAGAGACTCCACTCCCTCCCTGCCTCCAGCTCGCACGCGCCTGCCCTGCGGGTGCACCATCCGTCCTCTCCCCAACCCCCCGTGCGTGCTCCCTTAGGGACTCGCAGCGCCTGGGCGAGGGTGACGCGTCCCGCCTGGTCCGTAGCTCGCGGGCGCTGGTCTTTTTTTTTGCACGGCCGGGACGCACCACTCCCAGGCTAGACCCGGACGGCGCGGGGGAGCAAGCGGAGGTTCCTCTTTGAGCGTGCGGACTCCCCGCCCGCTGGAAGCGAGTCGGTGTTAGCCACCTCGGAGCACGCTCGGATGCTGGAACGACGCAGTCACTGGACACGCTGCGGGAGCCCAGGGACAAGGCGGCCCAGGGCGAGGGCTGGGGCCGGAAGGGGGCTCAGGATTTTGGTCCCACCCCTTTTCCCTTCGGGTCTCGGAGCGCTCGGGCTCTCAGACCCTCCTGTGCCCAGGTGTAGGCCAGGAGAGGAGGGAGCACTTCTTCGCCGCGCACTCCACCGCCATGGGCAATGTCTCCAATGACTCCGGGGCGGAGGACTGCGAGACGCGACAGTGGCTCCCCTCCGGCGAGAGCCCGGCCATCAGCGCGGTGATGTTCTCGGCCGGGGTGCTGGGAAACCTCATCGCGCTGGCGCTGCTGGCGCGCCGCTGGCGAGCGGACGTTGGGCGCAACGCGGGCCGCAGGAACTCGCTCTCCTTGTTCCACGTGCTGGTAACTGAACTTGTGTTCACCGACCTGCTCGGGACCTGCTTCATCAGCCCGGTGGTGCTGGTTTCCTACGCGCGCAATCAGACCCTGGTGGCTCTGGCACCCCACAGCCGCGTGTGCACCTACTTCGCCTTCGCCATGACTTTCTTCAGTTTGGCCACGATGCTCATGCTTTTCGCCATGGCTCTGGAGCGCTACCTATCCATCGGGCACCCCTACTTCTATCAGCGCCGAGTCACCCGTCGCGGGGGTCTGGTCGTGTTGCCTGCCATCTACGGCATCTCCCTGCTCTTCTGCGCACTGCCACTGCTGGACTATGGAGAATACGTGCAGTACTGCCCGGGGACTTGGTGCTTCATCCGGCATGGGCGTTCCGCGTACCTGCAGCTCTACGCCACCCTGTTGCTGCTGCTTATCGTTGCCGTGCTCGCCTGTAACCTTAGTGTCATCTCCAACCTCATCCGCATGCATCGCCGCGCCAGGAGGAGCCGCTGCGGACCGGCTGCCGGCAGTGGCCGGGGCGGCCTCGGGATGCGCAGGAGAGGTGAGAGGGTATCGGTGGCGGAGGAGACGGACCACCTGATTCTCCTGGCTATCATGACCATCACCTTCGCCGTGTGCTCTTTACCCTTCACGGTAAGTCGCTCACTCTGTACCCCACTGTCCAGCCCTGGGCAACTTGCGCTTCCCTTTGCCCCCCACTTTTTTTTTTCTACTTTCGCACTTGGTAAAGCTCCCTGACCTTCCCCTGTGATATCTCACCTTTACCCTCCTTCCTTCCTTTCCCCCAGTAATGGCACACGGGTGTCGCTAAGCAATTGCATCCTGCAGGTGACTCCGGTCCCCGCTTGGCCCAGGTCCCTTTCTAGAGACAGTGTCGCTTTCCCATATATGGACAGCCTGGCCTGGGACCTTATATCCTGATTACTCGATGGACTTGAGTTATAGTTTTCTCCACTTTGCCTCCTGTTTCTGCCAGGGCAAGGTGCAGTATTCCAGTGTATTCTGGCTGTAGCTGTAGAGGGTCCCTGGGGCAGAAGCTCATACTGTCCCCTGCTTGTCCTGCAAGTTCAGCAAACATCTACTTTATAGGTTCCCAGGTTCACACATTGGAGTTCACCACTGTATGGTGGGGAATATTCATAATGTCCCCAGTATGGAAACTGGAGGGAGAGACCCATTGCTTCACAAACTCCTTACTAAGCTTCCGTGGTTCCTCCAAGACAGGCTTTTGGAATCTTACAGAGTATCCTCACTCTGCTGCTGTCAAGTACTCATAGCTGTTAAAGCCACACAGAGAAATGTCTGGTCTGTCTTAGGGAAGTGAAAATGGAGCTGCCCCCTGGGACCAAAAGCCAGGAGTTCAGGTACTGGCTTGGGGAGGGCGGGACTTCCTGAGCAGTCCCGCTGTGAGTCTGAGTTTCCTAAAGCGCCTGAAGCAACAGAAGACCAAGCCCGCAGGGAGTGAGCAATTGGGGAAAGGAGAGGGATGGAAAGGCCTGTTGTTTTAGCAGATTTGGCTGGCAGAAGCTTTGCTTCCTGTTACTGTGGTCTGTTCCTGCTTAAGGATGGGCAAAAACACAGGCCCTAAAAACGCCAGATGGGCAGCTCCCTTTCTATGGACACTCTTTCTAAACTTTGTTTGCTTCTTTCTGCATCCTACACTCCTCACGCATCTGCCCTGTCCTCTGTTTGGAAAGACACGGATCCACATCAGTGAGTTTCGCTTTGGGGAAATGAGATGGCACACAGCATGGAAGCCATGCAGCCAGTGTGCAGGAGGCCACACTTCCCATGTCACGCCAAGCAGGGCATTTTGCAACCGACAGCAGTGAGTGCCATGATGCGGAAGCCAATGCTTTGACACATGGTTTCAGTCCATTTGGGGGGACCAGGAGTAGGATGTGGAACACATACCTATGAAAAATGCTTCTTGAATGCCACCTAAACAGCACAACACAGCTGGGGGACCTAAGCCATTCCAGGCTAAGGGAGTGCTCACACTGATGGGAACTAGGCTGTCAGTTCTTGTAGATGGATTGTTGTGTGTGTGTGTGTGTGTGTGTGTGTGTGTGTGTGTGTGTGTGTATGAGAGAGAGAAAGAGAGAGAGAGAGAGAGCTATGGAAATGCAAATACACACCTCTCTCACCTCCAGCCACCTAGATGGCTTAGGATCAGGTTGCAGGGCAATCACACACTCTTGTGAAAAGGGCTATATTTCTCCTTTCCTGAGCCATTTAGAGGAAGCTAGCAGGAGAAGATCTCCCTTTGACTATGCCTGGCCCACCACAGAATCTGTGACTTCTATACGTGTGCGTGTTGTGTTAAAAAAAAAAAACAAACAAACAGTGGTTTCGAAAAGGGCTCCTGGTTTCATGTTCATTTTGCTATTTCCCTAACTCCACCATTGCCAATGTCGCTTTTCAAGTCTGCGTATCCACATGCAGATTTCTCTCTCCCTCATCACTCTCCAGGCCAGAGGCAGCTCCAGGTTTAGGAGGGTGGTGTGGAGGGGATCTGCTCCTGAAGCTGTATTTTACTTAAATGGCCTATTTGTGGTTGATGTGGGGTGGGGGCTGGAGGCTGGGGCGGGGCGTGAAGATTATGAAAGGGCTCGGTTCCTTCAGGTCACTCCACAGCATCCGTACCAGCAGCAGGCGTTTTCCAGGTTCATGTCTATGCACATTCATGACAAAGATTCCCAAAGAGCAGAAGGAAATCCCAGCCTACACATGATGGGAAAGCTGTCCAGGCTGACTTCTTTTCTTGACCACACCGTGATGCCATATTCAGATGAGCCACAGAGAAACTCAAGGCATCTCTTAATAAGCAAGTCGACAGTGACCATTGACTAATTTCATTTTGCCCATAGATGGTTGCTAACCGTGGTCCATACCTCTTGCTTGCATAGCTCTCTAAGGAGTATGGCACTGTCCTGGTTTGTTTCTTGAGGGGCTTATCAGACAACCCAGACCCTTTGACTCCTATTTGGGTCATACATTTTACTTATTCAAAATTCCAGGAATGTGCTCTGGGGGACGCGCTTCTTACTGAACCACCCACCTACACCAGCCTCCCACATGGAGGAGGAAGAGGAAGAATCATTTCCACTCATTCTTCCCAGGGGTCCTATTCAACAGGGGAAAGGCTTTGGGTTGTTTTCAGACACGCCCCTGTTTCCCTGGCAGAGTGCACACGATTCAGTGGAAACACAGTGAGCTACTTGTGGAATTTCAGATGATCTAAAAACCATATAAAAAGGAACACAGAGTTTCCAGTTTATATTCTATTGGACCCAATACATGCAAATATAATACACTCAATACATAAGCCCTGCAACATCATTGTTAATGAGATATCCCAGCTAACAGCAGCCACTTACCCCATCACTCCTCTGTAGAGTAAGAGGCATGTTCACTATGCTTGCTCTAAAGCAGACCAAACCACTTGTCTCCAGGGAAGAGAATTGCAACCACAGTCAGTAGGACTGCCAAATTCCCTCATCGCACTGCAGTAGTTTGGGGAAGAGGGGACAAAGGAGCTTTAGCAAGCTTGGAATGCCTACCATCACCTGCTGTTCCAAGGCCCTGGCAGGTTCACTTTGCTGCTTCCTCCAGAGATGCCAGTCTAAGGCTTGCAAAGATTGGCAAGTCAAACTATATCTATATCTATATCTATATCTATATCTATATCTATATCTATATCTATATCTATATCTATATCTATGTCTTTATATCTAAAAGATGCCCAATATCCTAAAAGGAAATCAAGTACAATCTCCTATATCATTAACATCAACACCAACATGGCTTGCATTTGACAGTACTAATTTTTACATTAACCTATTCATCTCACAACAACCTATGAAATAAGCAGTATTATAATTCCCATTGTACAGATAAGGCAAATACTACACAGTGGGTCCCACAGCGAGAGCATCACAGAGCTAGAATTCACAGGCAGACAGTTTTTGGCATAGAGCTTATGCACTTAGCCACAACAGTATTACTCATTTCAAGAATAACAAACAAGAAAAATTAATCCAAGATTTCGTAAGATAATTGTTGTCAATATTTGAGCCACTTTGTCTCTTGCTTCCAACTTGCTAGCTTTAAAAAGAAAATGGCAAAGACTTTTGTTCTTCAGGTCTGCTCAAGGGAATCGAACTAGGGGCCAAGTGTATAGGTTCCCTTTTTTTCTGCACCAATGAAAAAAGTGTGTGATTGAGATTTCAGGAGATGGCTCATAGAAAGGCTCATCTAAATTAAGGAGTAATCACAATACTCATCATGTGAAATCTTCCATTTGTAAGCATAAAACATTTCTTAAGTGATAAAATAAAAAAAAAGCATGTGGTGTTTGGGAAGTTACATTATTTTGGCCATCCAACATAAGATCGTGCATGGGACCAACAATGCTTTTTAGATTGTTTATTCACAAAAGGGATGTTGTATAAATTAATAAATTCCTCCCTGTGTTAATCAGCTATTGTCATCATTTTACAGAGATAAATAGAAACTTTCTTCCTGAAATGGAACAGAATGCAAGAAATAAAGAGACTTCCATTCTTGCTTTAAATACTGATTGAGTCTTCATTTCCAGCCCATTTTAAACCTCTTTCTGTCCATTTTACTAAGTGGTGCGCAGCTTCTGGTCATTTAAAACTGTTTTGCACATGCCATTAGGATAAAGTGCTTAGGCACTTTATTCATTTCTAAAAATTCAAGAGTGAACTACTGATTCAGTCTACAAATGTCTTCAGAAATTCTTTAGGGTTATAATTTCCAGGTAGATCTGATTAGTGGAAATCTGATCTGTATAATACAGGACAAACTCAAGTAAATAAGGCTGGAGTTACCTGTTCATTCCTGCCACTTCTTAAGGTGAAGTGGAATATGAACATGGAGTTAAAAACCAAACGCAGGCTGATGACATTCATGCAAGATAAACTCATCTGGCAGGAATAAAAGAGAGGTCCAGAAAGTTTATGCGAAACCACAATGAGTTTTGCCTGGTGATATTTTCAGTAATTGTGAACAACTTGAGAGGGTTTTTATCGCTTGAGCATCATTACTGATGTGTCTGGGGATTGTTGAGACAGCTCTCATACACATTACCTTTTAAGAGAAAGGGCCTGTCCATGAGTGTTTTCTCATGATACCTTTTCCTTCGCCATTGGAGACTATCCAATGATGACTGCAATTGCAATGGTTTCTCAACTGCAGACAGCAAGAATCATCATGTTTTTCCCAAAAGAGTATTTGCATGTTGTGTCACCACCTTTGGATCCAGTGGGTCTCCACTACTGTTTCAGATATTTTCGGCCAGCTTTACCCAAGAGGAAACGGCATTTGGAGGTGGTCTATGCCTGGTTTTCTTATTGTATTCATTTTCTGCAGACATTTTGAAGACTCTTCATGTGTCATTGTGTGTGTGATGTGGAGAGCCAGGACTGAACCTTCGTCTAGTTCAGGGTTCCAGACCTATGCATGTGGATCTCTCTGATATCATTCGTAATGGGTAGTGTTTCTATGCAGGCCATATCCACCACTTTTGGTTTGACCAGAGTTCAACACTAGTACCCTGGAACACATAGGCCCAAGCTGGAAACCTCAGCATTAGCTCTTTGTGTCTC